AGGAGAGACTTGATGCCGATCTCTCTCAATACAATACCAAGAATCTGGAATCCACACCGTGGAATCCAGAATCCAAGACTGTCTTTGAATAAATTATACATGGGGCGAGAAATAGAAGAAAAACGTCGGTACTTCTATGAAAACGTGACTTGCCGTGGTACTGAGAAAGACGCCGGACGCGGCACAGAAGTCATGGAGATCGAAGATTTCTCATCCTTCGCTATCTTTGTGACTGTGCTTCTTTCATTAGTGACTATCATCGCAGTACCTGGTAATGGGCTCGTTCTTGGTATCATTGTGCGGTTTAAAAAGCTTCGAACCTTTCCGAACATTCTGATTGGCAATCTGGCGTTGATCGATTTTTTCAACGCACTCATGAACGTACCTATGTACATACTTTGGCTTGTTGTGGATGTCAAATGGTTTACTGGAAAGACTTTGGCGATAATGTCGCTTTTTCTATGCCACCTTTTCATCCTCCTTAACATCGTCTCCACGCTGGTTCTGCTCGGAAATGCGTTTTTGGCGATAGAACTTGACCTGAAATATTTCACCTGGAAGACGACGGAAAAAGCAATGACAATAGTCACGGTTGTTTGGGTGGTCTGTCTATTCGGCACTGGTTTGTTGACGTGGTTACATTGGGATATGGATCTTCAAGATGCTCCTCTTTCCAAATATCGCATTGCCTTCTCACTTAAATCCCAAGGATGCTTGACAGCAATCATGGCATCATTCATAGTCACTTCAATCGTATTTGGAGTCCTGACTTTCCAGTCAATTCAAAGGAAGAAACGGCAAGTAAGATTTAAGCCTTTTTTTGTTGAAGAATTCTTATATAGCCTTTATTTTGCACATTGGAACTATTTCAGGTTCATCGTTATTTTCACTGGTAAACTACCCGTAGAAAATGTTTGCAATGATGCTCTGAATGATCACTATTTATCTCCAAAAATAAAAAAAACTATCAACTTTAGTTATAAGCAAACGAAACTATACAGACCCAATACGATGGTCGTTCGAAAATGATCACTGATGTTCAGAGAAAAGATTTTAGGGGGCCGTGGGGGAAGGAGGGCAGTCTAAACATCAGTGCAGTCCCCAAGAAATCAACTCCAGGGAAATTTGCCTGCATTCGACATTTTCAGCGAATTGGAATAAACGCGAAAAAGTTTCAAAAACGTCAATTCCTTTTAAATGTGACGTTTTCGCTGCCGTCGCCGTCGTCGATGCTAAAACTCCCTTTTGTGTTCTGGGGAGGCTGGGGAGGAGGAAAATAGAGAGTTTTTTGATTATTGCTATTCAGTTTTATTATACCCACCGGAAGCCGCTTTGCGGAGGAGAGAGAGAAGCCAAAGTACATTAGCTGAACCTCACCTGACAGACCAGACCACTTTTTAGGGTGATGTTAGCACTGGACATGCGAAAAATTACTATGGTTTGTCCTTTTTATTTAGAGAAAGAAGTTGAATCTACCTCGACTCCAAGCTGATACCAGACTTCAACAGGATATTCAGGCAACCAAAACTATCGCCATTACTGTACTCGCATTCCTGGCGTGCTATATTCCGTCCGTTTGCATTGGAGCCTGGGTTCATCCCGAAGCCGATGCCACCGTTATGCCTTGGCCTGGTCACGTGGCCTACCTAAGCATGTTCCTATCCAGCGGGATCAACCCTATCATCTATTGCTACCGAGTCAGAAGATTTCGCCGCGCATTGAAACAGCTTCTTAACGATCCCTGCGGAAAAACAGCTTTCCAAGAGGAGGACCAAGATCAACGATTCAAAGAAAATAAGCTGCATCACAGTTCAAGAGGAAAAAAAATCGTGGATAAATTTGACGAGGACAGTCTCCTGCAGTTTCGAAATTCAAGCCGCTACACGAGAAGAATGGCTCTTACATTTCAAGTGCTCGAGACGAAGGAAAGCAGTAAAAAACAAGAAAAAGAATGTGGGCGGCCTGTGTGTAATCAGCCCATACCCTTGTCAATACAGAAGTCACGATCTCGAGTATGGGTGGAGAACTGCTCAATAAAATCTAGCAAGTCTAGAGAAACTCAGTGTGGCAAAGTAAGTCCAACACCCAAAGAGGATTACACCCGACATGAAGTAATTGTAGAGGTACACCCAGTACCTTACGACAAACCACTTAAGTGGAAAAGGGCAAAAACGACAACGCTAAGTGAAGATTATACGAGAAAAGAAAGCAATAGTAGAGTACACACACAGACCACTGACGAACTGTCAAAGCAGAAAATTACAGAAAGCCAGGGGTACATAAACAATCAAACAGTACAAAAATGCACTGAAGAAAAAGACCAAAATCAGAAAGAAAACCAACAAACTAGAAAACTGTAGAGCGTCTTGTGACCCATTTAACTTGTTAATCGGAAAAAGAAATCTGATAAAGAAATTACCAGCTAAAGTGTCTAAATCATAATAGCATCACCTCTGATCCAACATTCTGTCAGATGTTTTCAATAACTATTTTGCTTCCACAAGGCATAAATTAGCATAAAAAAATTCCGTAGAAATTTTACAATATCTACCTAGACTATCGTTCTCCGAATCTTTTGCTTTCAGCCCAGTTTTGCCAGGTGAAATAGAAGTAGAAATAAAGTCTCTTCCTCTAAATAAAGCAACGGGCTTGTACTGCTGTCCTGTCAGAATTCTGAAATCTGCTAGTCAGCTTCCTTCTTAGCCCCTGGCCTCAATCATGAAAAGGTAAGTTGAGAGTTGCATTTACCCTTCAAAGTTAAAACTTGCTAAAGTTGTACCAGTTTTCAAGAGTGAGGATGAATTAGACCCAAATAACTACAGGCCAATTTCTCTCCTGTCAATATTTAATCGCGTCTTTGAAAAACTAATATACAATCCGTCGCTTAAAATCGTTGCTAGATAAACCATAGTTAGTAACTAAGGATAAACACGATTTATTGTACCAGTGTCAGTATGGCTTCCGGAAAAAATGTTCCACTCAACATACTCTTATTGATATTGGTAATAGAATTCAGCTTAACATTGTCAAGACACTTTCTCCTGTGGTATATTTATAGACCTGAAGAAAGCGTATGACACAGTCAAACCACTCAATCTTATTGCAGAAACTTGAATGTTACAGAATCCGAGGAGTCCTTAATAACTGGTTTTCCTCTCATCTAAACGATCGATACCAAACTACTCAGGTTGGTTCCCATGTTTCTAGGAAAGAGCGATGTCTGTGTGGTGCTCCGCAAGGATCAGTGTTGGGACCATTATTGTTCTTGTTGTAGATAAATGATATCTAAAACTCTTCTGACAGATTAAGTATTTCTTTATTTGCTGATGACACCAATCTACTTTATGCTGATAAGAACTTGAGATCACTAAGTCTTGAAATCATAGTTTTAACTATGATTTCAAAATGAGGAGTTAAGGAGTAATGGCAAACAAATTATCTCTTAATGCTAAAAAATCTAATTTCGTTATATTTAGACACTATCAAAAGCGTATTGATTATGACGTGAACATCAAAATCTTTGATTACAGCCCAAACTCTTTTGTTTCCTTAGAAAGGAAAGAATGTGTAAGATACCTTGGTCTCCTTATTGATCAAAGTTATCTTGGACGCATCATCATATCATATATTTTTCTACCAAACTCAGCAGCAAATCATCAGGCATCCTTGCAAGACTAAGGCATTTTGTCCTTTCTTCCACTTAATTAAACATATATCGTTCTTTTGTACGACCTTACTTAACCTATGGTATAGCCATCTGGGGCCAAGCTGCTCCGACAAAATTGGAAAAAAAATTGATTATGCAAAATTTGCCCTTCGTTTGATTCATTTCAAACCCTTTAGGTTCCACGCTGTACATTTGTTTAAATTATCTAATGTTCTTCCTCTTAATCTTCTTTATTTTAAAACAATCTGCCCTATTATGCCCGATGTATTCAATAATGTAACGCCTCCAATCGTTTCTAACTTATTTACTTATTCTTCAAAGCTACATCCTCATAATACACGGTTTTCTGCGGCTGGCAATTTCTACCTTAAGCACTCGAGAACGGACCATATGAAAAACTCCTTTTCAAAAATTGGTGCAAAGATATGGAATAGTATTCCGGGCAGTGATCGTGCTCTACCTAAATATAAATTTAAGGATACCCTACAGAGTCGGCTACTGGATATTTTGACACAGGAAGATACTTATGTTGGCGTGCGTACTTTACTTCACATATTTAGTAAATATTAAAATTGTCAGTTTAATTAAATTTTCAATCATACATTGTTTTATTTACGTATTTTGAAATATATAAACTCACTGTCTTGTTAATTCAATATGTTGATGTTCGTGTATCTGTTTTCGTTATTGTTATGTTTCAACCCTGTTATTGTAATTTTTTTACTTCTCCTTCCCGCCTCGATTAACTAAGCTAATTTGCGGACAAGGATCAATGGTTATGTATCCTAAGTGTTAATAAACTTGAACTTGAACTTAAACTTAAAGGGAAAGTCATTTAGAAGACAACCTGAAACCTCCTAAAAAAAAAGAGAAAGTCCAGCGTCCAGTGAAGCTTGCAATAGCGATCTCTGTAAAGGAGAAGCAGTTCCAAGAGAAGCTATGAAACCCAGAGGGGGTGGGGGGAGTGCCAAATAAGACATAAGGCCAAATATGGGAGAGCCAAATAGGCGTGGTACGTTTCAAGAAAATCCCAGCCATAAGCTTCCCCGCGTATAGGTCCATCTCCCTGGTAAGGCAAATGCCTTTACAGGTAGAGTTGCGATTCTTTAAATTGACAGAGAACGACTCCAGACTTTATCTATATCATATCGATGGCCTAACTAAACAATCCCTAGCAATCAATCAATCAAACAATCCGTAGCAGTGGTAGTGGTGGCGGTGGCAGTGGTAATGGCAGGGGTAGTTTCTCAATCATGCGCCTCTCTGAATGATACCTGCATGGGTAGTGCTGTTACTTTTACCGCCTAAACCCAGTTAGTGATAACAAAACTTGCAATTTAACCCCTTAAATGAGACTAACAGCACCCCCGCCCAATTTACGTCGAAATTTCCTCACGTCATTGAGGTTTGTATGAAAACATAACCATTAAGCTTTAAAGGCAATACGTTTTTTTAAATGGAGTCGGCGACTTACTCCTATAAGATGTATTTCCCGTTGTGAACCAGATTCTTCGGACGATCCAATTTTGTATTCTTTTTAGCCCTTCGTATCTCCACTGTAAAATCACTTTAGTTCCGGAGGGGTTAGTCTCCTAGAAGATGTAGAGATGCTCGTCAAAAAATAAGAAAACACTCCTTAAAGGTTCCAGAATCTTGTTTCCGGGACATGACTCCAATAGACCCTCCCTGTTTTATTATTATTATTATTATTATTATTATTATTATTATTATTATTATTATTATTATTATTATTATTATTATTATTATTATTATTATTATTATTATTGTCTCTATTATCACAGTCTTTGCTGGTGTTCTTTTTGTGCATCAGCCGGGCGCAAACCATGCACCTAGAGCGTCAGTCACTCAAGTCAATCATTCTGTTCATACACTGAGCACCTTTCTAAGGATTCGTGCAGATCCCAGCATGCAGATCTTTTGAATCTCTGTCATAGTAGCTCTCTCTGATACTTTCTTGATGTTTTCTACCATACCCTTCTTCACTGTACCAAGCACACCAACAACCACAGGGATCACTACAGTTTTCATATGCCACATTCTCTGTATTTCTAGTTCTAGGTCTTTGTACTTGCATTTTTTTCCAGTTTCCTTCATTGCGATGTTTCTATCTGATGGAACAGTCATATCAATAAGTTTGCAGGTGGAATTCACTGAATCTTTAACGATGATATCTGGTCTGTTCGCTGTTATAGTTCTATCAGTATTATTATTATTATTATTATTATTATTATTATTATTATTATTATTATTATTATTATTTGTTATTATTATTATTATTATTATTATTATTATTATTATTTTAGTTTTCATTTTATTTTTTTCAACGTTTAATAAAGAGCAGTAAACGAATATCCTTCGACACTGCTGGAAAGCCCCCTGACAAGCTAAGAGAAAAAAGAGGCCCCCGTTTTAATAGGGGACTCCCTCCCTCGCATTCAGATCAGTCTGAATGCGGGATCATATAAACGAATCTCTAGAAATTATACCTATTTAGCCCGTTTTTTTCGCAATACAATTTATATATAATTCGCCTGAAAGATGGCTCTCCCCCCTACCACCCCCCCCCCTTGCGTAAATGTCTCCCTATAACAAAAAAGAAAATGATTCGTTAAAATATACTTTTGATTGATTTTTCCCTCTTCCCAGCCTCTAAGCGGCGGACAGACGATTTGAGAGACTCGCACGGTAACGTTATGAAATACAGTAACTGATAAAATAAATGGATATATTTAAGTATAGAAAAACAATTAATCAAAACTGTACAGCATTTACCACGTATCCATACCTACTATACTTTGGTTTTCTCTTTTTTAACATAACAGTCCTTAACCGTAACTCTCTTTAAGTTGGAAACATTTAAATTTCCAGCTTTTTAAACTTGCATCAAGGAAAAGCAGATATGAAACCTAATATAGCAGCAAAGCTACAAACCAATGCCTTAAGACTACATGAAATTAAAATTTAGCCTTCGGTACACAATTTACTACAGCTTATTTTTGTAATTCTTCCAAACAATTGATTAATTTATTATAACATCAAAGATTTAACCAGTTTAACTTCCAAAATTTTATCTGTTTTTGACAATTCTTACGATCGATTAACAGGTACCATGCGACAGAAAAGCAAACGCAAGCTGAACATATAAATTCGGCCGTGACGAAACATCCCAAGTCGAGATTTCTTTTTTTGAAAACTATCAGACATAAATCCATTGCGCCGTGCCATGGGAAAAGAATTCTGAATACCATCGGCTGGGAAACCAACCACAATAAAAGATTTAAGTACTTTTGTCCCTGTAAACCTACGTGCGGAAATTTTTCGCAAGCTTTTTATTAAGATGATTAAGAAAAAGGTTGAATGTCTTCGGCCATGACTTAAAACTACGCTCACTGATTTATTCGATTATCATTTTTAGTATATTTCAAAGATATGCAGCTCCGGCTATCATGGGGACCACAAATGAGACGAAATTTTTCTCAAAGAGACAAAAGTATATAGCAGTTTTTAATTGCTTCCCTTAACGATGCAAAAAGTTTCAAGCTCGTTAGAAATATATAAACGTTTTCATTGTGATGATTTCCGCCTTCCGTAGCAGTTTTCAATTGCTATTTTTAACACTCCAAAACTTTAAAGCTCGTTAAATGCACAAACGTTTTGATTGGACGATTTCCGTATAAACAACTGAAGTGGTATAAGTCTTCCATTCTGACCGAAGGGAAAACGTCAGCTGCACATGGGACTACATCAGCATCATTGCTGCTCTTTGATACATATCGCAACACTGGGAGCCGAAAGAGAGCGTTGCGCCACTGACATACCTACGATTTGCGGAGTTTGTGATTAATAAAGAGAAAAAAGGGGGTCATACACCATTTAAGAGAGTGAAGTCAAGGCGAAAGGGCAATTGAACGGCGAAGATGCGAACGAAAGCGCGCTCGCGCAATTGACCCCCACTCCATCACTACTCACCCCGCCGCCCCATAACCAAAAACGCAGGCCAGTCGGGCCCAAGAACACTTCTCCCTAAGCGCGCGCTGTATAAAACGCGTGGCGTAACATCGCAGCATGAATAGAAAGTCCATACTGAGATGCTACTGAAAAACACTCTGATCAACTTAGGAAATGCGACGGATCCGGACTCTGGGCCGCCGATATATCATCCTGGGAGACCCAGGGGCAGTCAGTCGGGTCGGGAGAAAAGGCGGGATGAAAGTTTTCATTACGGGCGAAAGAGCCCCTGGGTACCGACTCTATCCGAACTATTTCCAAAAATTCAAGCGGATACCGGATCCTGATTGGGCACAAAAAATGCTTTGTATTATTGTGCCCAATCGGCGAACAGTTTCTCCTGAGTTCGTTTCGTGAGTTCTTACACGACGGCTATTGTCTCGCCACACTTGCCCGGTTCGTTCACCAAGCTTGTGCGTACAAGGGAAACTTTTATTTTCTACTTTCCTAACCAGAAACAAAGGAACTACCGATGAGTTGAAAAAACGTTTGGGTTACTATCAGCAAGAGCAATTGAATTTGCCCCGAGAATATTCTGTTTCTGACGGATCACAATTAAGACGCGGCGACGATGAGAAATTCAAATACGTAATAGCTTGACAAGGCAAAACAACAACTTTGCACGTGCATCACGCTTTTTTGTACATTTCTTTGCCGTCAACTGCACGACTACCCGTGAAAATGCCTAATTTCACGTTTTGTGAAGGACGTAAACAATCAATAACAAAATTCATTCTCTTCATGAACTTGGATATGGTTGATAGAAATTCATCTCCAGAAGAGTTCGCTTACATTTGACAAAGTAAGCGAGTTGGATCAGATGGGGATATTATATCAAACTGAAAGTTTACTGACTGCGAGCATTTCTTTGTGCATGAGCTAGACAAGCCATGGTCGAGACAATAGCTATGTAGAAACACACGAAAAGAACCCATTGAGATGTGTTCGCCGATTGGGCACAATAATACAAAGCATTTTTTGTGCCCAATAAGGAGCCGGTATTCGCTTGAATTTTTGGAAATAGTTCGGTAAGAGTCGGTACCCAGGGGCTCTTCCGCCCTTACTTGAAAACTTTCTTCCCGCCCTTTTTCCCGACCGGACTGACTGCCCCTGGGTCTCCGAGGATGCCGATATATCTTAGTGACATTAAAAACAATGATCCATATCTCATCATCTGTTAAAAAGTCATGTCATAAATTCTCTGAAAACGTTCTTTTGATAAAGAAAGCGGCTCAACCTGCCTCGACTCCAGAGTGACGCCAGACTACAAATGGATATCAAAGCTGCCAAACTATCTTCATTGCTGTACTCGCATTCCTTGTATGTTACATTCCACCCGTTTGCGTTGTTGCCAGGACTAGTGTCAAGTCTGGCTCCAGTGACAGTGCTTGGCTTACATTTGTCTGTATTCACTTAGATCCAAAGGACCAACCATCAAAACGAAAAACCCCGGAGAGTGAAATGTACGTTGAGGATCAAAAGGGACAGAAATTCACCGCAGAGGAGGGCATTAGTCTCCATAAGGAAAATCCAACAAACCACACAATTTCTCAACATCTTCCGACGATCGCAGACTGTACAGGTAAACTCATTGAAGAGTTAAACGTTCATCTAAAAGGTCAAAGAGAAGCAATCAGACCAGAAAATGATACAAAGTCCAACAGTCCATGCTGATTATACTGTGTAAGCCTTAAGCCTATACCGTTGCAATATAAAGATAATCACTTTGCTTAAGTAAATACCGTATTTATTCGATTAACCGCCCTGGGCGCTTATTAAATTTTTGGACCTTGAGAGTGGGCGCTTATTCGAGGTGGGCGCTTATTGCTCCGACCCGCGAATAATTTAAAAGTGGTAAAAGTCGTTCAGAAGTATGTTTATTTTGCAACAAAACAATAAATGCTAATAACAAAACGCAAAGAAGTAACAAAGCAAGGTTTCTGTAAAATACTCTGAAAAAAAACTCAGTCCTCGGGGAGTCTCTTATTGGAACTTATTCACTTAAGTGGGTGGGGTGGGGGTGAGCGCTTATTTGAGTTTGATTGAGGGGAGGAGGGGGTGGGCGCTTATTCGAGGCTGGGCGCTTATTAGCTTTTTCTGCCTTTAGGATGGGCGCTTATTCGAGGTGGGCGCTAATTCGAGGTTGGGCGCTTATTCGAATAAATACGGTACATACTTGCTTTTTCACTGATTTTACGTGTTCGATGAAACAACCGTGAGTATAAGAAGAAAAGTTATTATTATTGTTGTTGTTATTTTTCTTTTTTTTTATGCGAGAACCAGCGAAAAGAAACATTTGCGCACGTCTTAGAACTGCTTTTTGCCCGTCGCGAAGGATTCAAATTTGACACTTTATGCCATTGAGCTTACGTATGTCAAGAGACGCTTTTCCGCATGTGAAAACACAGATTGCTGTACTGGTGGAAACGAACGTGTCGGTATACTCTGGGACCGCCACCATGTATTTGTTCGTCTTCAAGAGTTACCCGCCTAACCATTACCATAATCACCTTGTTGAACAAGCTTGTTCAAATAGAGATTTATTATCCAGGCCAGAGAGCTTTTCAGGCGAGAAAAGCGGACGATGCCGAAGGGACAAGATTGGTATAACTTAGTCGCTCGGGCAGCCAATCAAAGCACAGGATTCGCTTCACCTTGCCTCCTCGCGGAACAAGCGATATAATATAAAAAGAACTATCCTACCAGCTAATCTATTTAACAATTATTCCACGACTGCGCCTTGAATTTGAGATGTTAGATCATCTCATATTTAACAAGCGCCAGTGGAATAATTGTTTTATTAAAAAGCCCACAAAATATCGAGAATTCTTCCCGACTGTATTTGAAACAACAGCCGATATTCAGATTGTTTCTAATTTCGAGCAGACGCTCACAGTTGCCATCTTTGGAGAGTATGGTATAATGCCTCATATACTATGATGACTAAGCCAATCAGAGCTCTAGAACTGCAATATCCAATGATTTAGTTTTTAATAAAAGTGATTATAATCCACCAAGAAAGTAAACCTGCTAAATTGCTTAAAAAACGTAGCGGAAACGGTTAGAAGAACAGATTCCTTTTTTGGTTTTAAATTCGTCAGTTTATGTGTATTACCAAGGCCTTCCGAAGATGATAAAAAAACCGTTAAAAATAATAATAAGAAGAAATGAATGTACAGGAAACAATAAAGGAAAACTGTAGAGTATTTTCCATGAACGAAAACATACTTTATTTTATCTACTCTTGCTTTAACTTGACCGCCATTAACTGTCACATTTTTTAACTGAGAAACATTTAAATTTGCAGCGTTTTAAAAATTGGACAAGGAAAAAAAACACTAAAGGAAACATTAGATTGAAACGAAAATAAAAGACAATGAAATAAACAATAGCGTCCGGTTGATACAACTAACTGACTTCGTTTTGTGCGTCTTATAAAAGGCTAACTTATTTTCAAAGCATCAAAGATTTACCTTCGAAAATTCTATCTGTTTTTTCATAAGGCCGATTTACATGCACCACAGGAGGGCGAACACAACCTCTACGTGTATTTTTGGCCGTGACGAAAAACACAGATTTCTTTTTCTTATTAAAACTATTAGATATAAATCCATTTTGCATTGCCATGGGAAGAAAATTCTGAATAACATCGGCAAGGAAACAAACCGCAATAAAAGTTTTTAGAAATTTTATTCAAAAAGTTTAATATATAAACGTTTTGATTGTGAGGATTTCCGTATAAACAACTGAAGCGGCATAAGTCTTCCATTCTAACAGAAGGGAAAACGTCAGCTGCACATGGGACTACATCAGCATCATTGCTGCTCTTTGATACATATCGCAACACTGGGAACCGACAGAGACAGTTGCGCCAAGAAAATCATGGAAGTCGAAGACTTCTCCTCCACCATAATCTTCACGCTTGTATTACTGTCAATACTGACTATCTTTGCTGTACTTGGTAATGGGTTCGTTCTTGGTATCATTGCACGCTTTAAGAAGCTTCGCACCTTTCCAAACATTCTGATTTCCAATCTGGCGTTGGTCGATTTTTCCAACGCACTCATCAACGGACCTTTATACCTGCTTTGGGGTGTCTTGAAAGTCAAATGGTTTACAGGGAAGACACTGGCGATTATATCGCTATTTCTGCTCCGCCTCTTTATGTTCCTAAACGTGGTCTCCATGTTGGTGCTGCTGGGAAATGCTTTTCTAGCGATAGCACTAAACCTGAAATATTTCACCTGGAAGACCAACGAAAAAGCTTTGGCCATAGTGCTGGATGTGTGGATGGTCTGTGTTACCAGCGCGGTTATCTCCTTATATCCCCATTCTGATACCGACCTTCAAGATGCTTTTGTGTGCACATATCGCGGTGCTTTTATGAATCAAAATAATGTGCTTTTAACAGTAATCGGCGCGTCGTTCATCGTCACTGCAATAGTACTCGGCGTCATGGCTTACTGCGCTATTCAATTGAGGAAACGCCAGGTAAAAAGACAGAGAGTAAATTAAATGGTCTTTTATTTTCGACAACTTTTGCTAAATCTTTATATTTCATGCTTTACGGACGTTAGCACGTTAACCATTAACTATTTCTTCGCATGTAAGAAAAACGAAACTCTTCTCACATGTAGAAGTTTTTTATCATTTAGATGAAAAAGAAAGAAGAAGTAAAGAAATGGTTTTAAGGAGAGAAAAAAAAAAAGCTGGTCACAATAACACCTCAGAAAGTAAAGTACAGTGAAAGTTAAGATATGGCTGTAAGGCTGTAGCTTGCGTAGCTGGCGGTTTTGTCTCGAGAGCGCGCAAATGAGAAGCGAAGCTGCGAAAACGCGGGCGAACGAGCGCCGTCTCATTCTCCTTGCAGCATCGCCGCACGCCATTGCCCCCCTCCTAATATAACTGCCAGCTAAGCAAGCTAGCCGCAATCATGTACATTTCTCCCTTATTGAGCGCGGTGTAAAACTATAAAACGGGTGGCCTGACATTGCGGCATGAATACACAGCCCGTACTGAGATGCTATTGTAAAATTCTGAGCAACTTAGAAAATGTAACGGTTCGGGATTCCAGGCCGCCGGGATAACGTGAAACTGAAAACAATGTTTCATATCTCTTCAACCTCTAGAGGCCGCCCAGTAGCATTCAATTTTCAAGTTATCTAAAACCTTTTTCACTTACAGAGAAAGCGGCTCAACCTGCCCCGACTACAAAATGACGCCAGACTACAAATGGATATCAAAGCTGCCAAAACCATCTTCATTGCTGTAGTCGCATTCCTTGTATGTTACATACCGCCCGTTTGCGTTGTAGCCATCTTGACTAGTGTTAAGCCCGAATCCAATGGTAGAACTTTGCTTGGTCACTTTGCTTACCTTGCCATGCTCATGTCGAGCGGGATTAATCCCGTCATCTATTGTTTCCGGGTCAGAAGGTTTCGTTGCGCACTGAAACAGCTTTTTAATGATCCCTGTGGAAAGACTCCTTTCCAAGATTCCGACCAAAAGCTACGATTCAAACACAATGTTCTAAATCAGAATGCAAGGAAAATGGGCCTCTCAGCACGAAGGTTTGGAGAGCAGGAAAAAGGTGGAAGTGAAGATGAGGTATGTGGATTAGACGGCGTACCTTATCTGGTCAGGGCTTTGTCATCGGAAAAGCACCAATCTGAGAACATCCCACAGTTAACAAGGGTGGAGAACCACCCCAGAAACTGCGCAGGGACATGCTCCGGGGTTGAGAGTCCAGCACCCAAAGCAGACTACACACGTCATGTAGTCACAGTGGAGGTACACCCAGTACCTAACAACAAACCACTAAAGCAGAAAGTAGCGAAAAAGCCAACAACAAGTGATGTTTACACCAGAAAGGAACACCTTGTCCGTATTCATTCAAATTCAAAGGACAAACCTTCAAAACGAAAAGTGGGCCCTGAGAATGACATTTACGTTAAGAATCAAACAGCGCAAGAATTCACCGCAGAGGAGGGCATTAGTCTCCACAAGGAAAAACCAGCAAACCACACAATTTCACAACATCTTCCCACCAGCGCAGACTGTACAGGTCAACTCACTGAAGATTTAAACGTGGAACCGAAGGAGAGGCCATCAGACCAGAAAATGATAGAAAGTCCAACAGTCAATGCTAATTATATTGTGTAAGCCTTAACTGTATCCTGTTGCGATATAAGGATGGTCGCTTGTGATTGAGTATATTTATGCTTTCCTTTCTCAATAATTATACATTTACGATGGAACGACCGTGAGTATAAGAGGAAAAGTCAGAAGATGACAAACTTGATTCTTATGATTGTTTTCTCTTACATACTGATGTTATGTCACATGAACATGAGTTAACTGACATTTGACATTTTATGCCTTTGCGCCACCATGTATTTCTCCATCTTACGGAGTTGCCCGTCTTGTACAAAGCCAAATGTATGATAGGAAATAACAATAAACGGCAAGTACCAGCTCTAAGTTTTCGTGTTAGAAAGGTATCCAGTTTGCAGGAAAGTCCGTTGAGTTGACTTCACTCCATCAGTGTAAGCTTTCACGTCAAGAAAATCTATTTTCAGTTTCGATTTCCACGGAGCTGAAATTCATCAAGTTAATAATATTCATGATGAAGCCTAAATCAAGTCCCATTTAAACGAGCGGCAATGTACGTACAC